GAGCTCACAGGCAGAGTTCACACGGTCAGGATCACACCCATGAGCAGAGATGAGTACAAGTACACCAGTGAGCAGAGATGAGTACAAGTACACCAGTGAGCAGAGATGAGTACAAGTACACCAGTGAGCAGAGATGAGTACAAGTACACCAGTGAGCAGAGATGAGTACAAGTACACCAGTGAGCAGAGATGAGTACAAGTACACCAGTGAGCAGAGATGAGTACAAGTACACCAGTGAGCAGAGATGAGTACAAGTACACACGTGAGCAGTGATGAGTACAAGTACACCAGTGAGCAGATATGAGTACAAGTACACCAGTGAGCAGATATGAGTACAAGTACACCAGTGAGCAGAGATGAGTACAAGTACAACAGTGAGCAGAGATACATTAGTACAAGTACACCAGTGAGCAGAGCTACATTAGTACAAGTACACCAGTACTCACCTAATTGTACTCACCTAATTGTGCTTGCGGGGGTTGAGCTTTGGCTCTTTGGTCCTGCCTCTCAACTGTCAATCAACTGGTGTACAGATTCCTGAGCCTACTGGGCTCTATCATATCTACATTTGAAACTGTGTATGGAGTCAGCCTCCACCACATCACTTCCTAGTGCATTCCATTTATTAACTACTCTGACACTGAAAAAATTCTTTCTAACGTCTCTGTGGCTCATTTGGGTGCTAAGTTTCCACCTGTGTCCCCTTGTTCGTGTCCCACCCGTGCTGAAGAGTTTGTCTTTGTCCACCCTGTCAATTCCCCTGAGAATTTTGTAGGTGGTTATCATGTCTCCCCTTACTCTTCTGTTTTCCAGGGATGTGAGGTTCAGCTCCTTTAGCCTTTCCTCGTAGCTCAATCCTCTCAGTTCCGGGACGAGCCTGGTGGCATACCGCTGAATCTTCTCTAACTTTGTCTTGTGTTTAACTAGGTATGGAGTCCAGGCTGGAGCTGCATACTCCAGGATTGGTCTTACATAAGTGGTATACAGGGTTCTGAAAGATTCCTTACACAAGTTTCTGAAGGCAGTTCTTATGTTGGCCAGTCTAGCATATGCCGCTGATGATATTCTTTTGATGTCGGCCTCTGGGGACAGGTTCGGTGTGATATCAACCCCCAGATCCTTCTCTCTATTTGACTCTTGCAGGATTTTCCCTCCCAGATGGTACCTTGTGTTCAGCCTCCTGCTCCCTTCGCCTAATTTCATCACCTTACACTTTCCCGAGTTAAACTTTAGCAGCCATTTTCTAGACCATTCCTTCAGTTTATCCAGGTCATCCTGTAGTCTCTGTCTATCTTCATCCGTCTTGATTCTTCTCATAATTTTTGCATCATCAGCAAACATCGAGAGGAATGAGTCTATACCCTCTGGAAGATCGTTCACATATATTAGAAACAGGATTGGTCCAAGTACTGAGCCCTGTGGGACTCCGCTGGTGACATCTCGCCACTCTGATGTCTCCCCCCTCACCGTTACTCGCTGTTTCCTGTTGCTTAAGTACTCCCTTATCCACTGGAGCACCTTCCCTTTTACTCCTGCCTGTTGCTCCAACTTTTTTAACAGCCTTTTATGGGGTACTGTGTCAAAGGCTTTTTGGCAATCCAGGAAAATGCAGTCGGCCCACCCTTCTCTTTCCTGCCTAATTTTCGTTGCCTGGTCATAAAAATCTATTAAAGCTGTGAGGCACGATTTACCATCTCTGAACCCATGTTGGTGGTGCGTTACAAAGTTATTTCCCTCCAGATGCTCTACGAGCCTTTTCCTCACGATCTTCTCCAGCACCTTGCATGGTATACAAGTTAAGGAAACTGGCCTGTAATTCAGTGCCTCTTGCCTGTCACCCTTTTTGTATATTGGGACCACGTTAGCTGTCTTCCAACTTTCTGGTAAGTCTCCTGTTTTCAGTGACCTGTTATACACCATAGAGAGTGGCACACTTAGTGCTTCTGCACCTTCCTTTAGTATCCATGGTGAGATTCTATCAGGCCCAACAGCCTTTGTCACATCCAGCTCCAGCAGACACCTTTTGACCTCATCACTGGTGAGGTCAAATTCCTCCAAGGTTGCTTGGTTTGCCGCCTCCTCATTTAGTGCAGGGGCTTCTCCTTGTTCTATTGTGAAGACCTCCTGGAATCTCTTGTTGAGTTCTTCACACACCTCCTTGTCATTCTCTGTGTATCTGTTCTCCCCTTTCTGCAGCTTCATCACTTGTTCCTTCACTGCTGTTTTCCTCCTGATATGGCTGACCAGTGAGCAGAGATACATTAGTACAAGTACACCAGTGAGCAGAGATACATTAGTACAAGTACACCAGTGAGCAGAGATACATAAGTACAATTACACCAGTGAGCAGAGATACATTAGTACAAGTACACCAGTGAGCAGAGATACATTAGTACAAGTGCACCAGTGAGCAGAGATACATAAGTACAAGTACACCAGTGAGCAGAGATACATAAGTACAAGTACACCAGTGAGCAGAGATACATTAGTACAAGTGCACCAGTGAGCAGAGATACATAAGTACAAGTACACCAGTGAGCAGAGATACATTAGTACAAGTACACCAGTGAGAGGTACCTATAATTACTGAGTGGTGGCAGACAGATCCTTCCACACCCACTAACACTTATGTCTGTCAGACATGCCTTGTGAGCAGCGCCTGCCATCACTCGGTGTTGAACGCCTGCCATCACTGGGTGTTGAACGCCTGCCATCACTCTGTGTTGAACGCCTGCCATCACTGGGTGTTGAACGCCTGCCATCACTGGGTGTTGAACGCCTGCCATCACTGGGTGTTGAACGCCTGCCATCACTGGGTGTTGAACGCCTGCCATCACTGGGTGTTGAACGCCTGCCATCACTGGGTGTTGAACGCCTGCCATCACTGGGTGTTGAACGCCTGCCATCACTGGGTGTTGAACGCCTGCCATCACTGGGTGTTGAACGCCTGCCATCACTGGGTGTTGAACGCCTGCCATCACTCTGTGTTGAACTCCTGCCATCACTGGGTGTTGAACGCCTGCCATCACTAGGTGTTGAACGCCTGCCATCACTGGGTGTTGAACGCCTGCCATCACTGGGTGTTGAACGCCTGCCATCACTGGGTGTTGAACGCCTGCCATCACTGGGTGTTGAACGCCTGCCATCACTGGGTGTTGAACGCCTGCCATCACTGGGTGTTGAACGCCTGCCATCACTGGGTGTTGAACGCCTGCCATCACTGGGTGTTGAACGCCTGCCATCACTGGGTGTTGAACGCCTGCCATCACTGGGTGTTGAACGCCTGCCATCACTGGGTGTTGAACGCCTGCCATCACTGGGTGTTGAACGCCTGCCATCACTGGGTGTTGAACGCCTGCAATCACTGGGTGTTGAACGCCTGCCATCACTGGGTGTTGAACGCCTGCCATCACTGGGTGTTGAACGCCTGCAAATCAGGAAGTAACAAATCAAGGAACTAGTGAAAGAAAATGAGGAGTGGAAAGTGAAGTGTGGTGACTGAAGAAATAAACAAGAAAATACTCATATGGTGAATAACTCCAAGGTAGCCTGAGGGCTAACATAGAGTTGGGATCTCCAACTGGAGCAAGGATCTCCAACTGGAAACTTCACTGACAACTCACATAGAGGAAGTGAATAAAGAGCTAGAAAAGTATAAAGAAGAAATAAAAGCGACATATGCTCAAGTTGTAAAAGAGAAAGAGACTATCAAAGAAGTGTGTTCGGAAGTCAAAACCAGAAATGACCAACAAGAAGCAGAAATTAGGCAAGTAATTAGGAAAGAACTGGTTACCAACAGTAAACTAGGGAGCCGGTCGACCGAGCGGACAGCACGCTGGACTTGTGATCCTGTGGTCCTGGGTTCGATCCCAGGCACCGGCAAGAAACAATGGGCAGAGTTTCTTTCACCCTATGCCCCTGTTACCTAGCAGTAAAATAGGTACCTGGGTGTTAGTCAGCTGTCACGGGCTGCTTCCTGGGGGTGGAGGCCTGGTCGAGGACCGGGCCGCGGGGACACTAAAAGCCCCGAAATTATCTCAAGATAACCTCAAGAAGATAACTGGGTGTTGAACGCCTGCCATCACTGGGTGTTGAACGCCTGCCATCACTGGGTGTTGAACGCCTGCCATCACTAAGTGTTGAACGCCTTCTATCAACCTATGTTGAACGCCTGCCATCACTGAGTGTTTAAAGTCTGCCATCACTGAGTGTTGAACGCCTGCCATCACTGAGTGTTGAACGCCTGCCATCATTGAGTGTTGAACGCCTGCCATCATTGAGTGTTGAACGCCTGCCATCTTCTTCTTGAGGTTATCTTGAGGTTATCTTGAGATGATTTCGGGGCTTTTTAGTGTCCCCGCGGCCCGGTCCTCGACCAGGCCTCCACCCCCAGGAAGCAGCCCGTGACAGCTGACTAACACCCAGGTACCTATTTTACTGCTAGGTAACAGGGGCATAGGGTGAAAGAAACTCTGCCCATTGTTTCTCGCCGGCGCCTGGGATCGAACCCAGGACCACAGGATCACAAATCCAGCGTGCTGTCCGCTCGGCCGACCGGCTCCCCCATCAGGCCATCACTGGGTGTTGAACGCCTGCCATCACTGGGTGTTTAAAGTCTGCCATCACTGAGTGTTGAACGCCTGCCATCACTGAGTGTTGAACGCCTGCCATCACCGAGTGTTGAACGTCTGCTATCACTGCATGTTGAACGCTTGCCATCACTGAGTGTTGAACGTCTGTTATCACTGCATGTTGAACGCTTGCCATCACTGAGTGTTGAACGTCTGCTATCACTATCACTAAGTGTTGAACGTCTGCCATCACTGAGTGTTGACAGTCTGCCATCACTGAGTGTTGAACGTCTGCCATCACTGAGTGTTGACAGTCTGCCATCACTGAGTGTTGAACGTCTGCCATCACTGAGTGTTGAAAGTCTGCCATCACTGCATGTTGAAGGGCAGCACATGTTTCAGGCACTAATGCTCTTCCTGTCACGCAGGTGGTCTAGTGATAATTTTGATGTTGATGAAGCGTCTGTTGGAGGTGGAGGCATACAAGGACAAGCTGGAGCCTCACATGGACCATCTAGAGCAACAGGGGCTGTGGCACAAGGTAATGTACTTCCCTAAGCATTGTATTCCTGTTTCCAAGGAAATTTAACAGACTTGAAAGATGAGTAGAGGAAAACAAGATAAATTCATCTAATAATATTCCATACATACAATATGTACATACATATCTATGTCGGTAAATGGTCATATCTGTACGTCTGTCTGTCTGTCTGTTTTGTCTATCAATCAGTCGTTATATCTTTGGTAGGAGGATACATGCGTGGGGCTGCCCAAACGATTTTTTCTGGCTTATAATTAAGGGAAAAGATGTCCATCACTGGTTGGCCAGGATCGGCCACATTGACCCTCTTTAACAAGGATTAACCCCAATAGTGACGACCTGTGATTTTCACAGATTGTATAATCATGCATGTTTTCCAAAGATCTTTTGAATAGTATTTTAATACTTTGTAATAATGCTAGCGTCACTGCTCTCCATTACTGGTAAAACGGTGTTTTACCCGGCAATACTAATTACATGAGGAGGCCCAACAACTTCCCCCGTGTATGTTTCTGGCTTTCTGGAAGTCACAAATACGCAGTCTGCCCAACCTTCTCTGTCCTGTTTTATCCTCGTTATTTTATCATAGAATTCCAAAAGGTTTGTTAGGCAAGATTCCCCTTTCCAGAACCCATGTTGATGTTTGTTTACAAACAACGTTCTCTACGTGTGCAACCAATCTTAACCTAATTATTCTTTCACGTATTTTAAAGGGGATGCTTGTTCCATGTATGGAACTTGTGCTCTCATTGGAACCCCGATTTCCCAGGTCATCAAACTTCCATTTCCGCTTTAATAGGAGTGCCACTCCCCCTCCCTGCCTCTGTGTCCTCTCTTATCACCTGGTACCCCTCTGGAAAGATTGCATCCGAGATCATGTCATTTATTTTAGTTTCCACTATTGCAACTATGTCAGGATCTGCCTCACTAACTCTTATCTCTTCTGATAAATTAGATACCCCATCAGCATTGGTGTATAAAACCTTGAGATTCTCCTTGGAAACTCTGGTACCAAAGTGAACCCTTTCTCTGGGGGTCTGGGGGGATCTGGGGGTGTCTGGGAAGTGAATGGGGGCTGGGGTGATTGGGGTCTGGAGGGGTGCTTGGGGGCGAATGGGGTCTGGGCATCTAGAAAGGTAGGTAAGAAGGGCAGGGTTAGTAAGGCCTTGGTAGGTAGGTCAGGAGTAGAAAAGGCATACTGGGTCTAAAATTTAGGGAGGGTCCAAGAGGCGTAGGGGGGATTGAGAGATAGTGTGAGTCTGAGAGTCAGAGGTTGAGAGGTTGGGGGTGGAGGGAAAGATAGAGGGGGTGGGGGAAGAGGGGAGGATGGAGTATGGATAGTGAGAGTGGGAGAGATGTTGTATTACTCAGGGAAAACTCAGAGGTAGGTATGGGCATTGGGGCAGAAGGTGGGAAGAGGGAAATGGAGGAAGAGGTGGGGAGGTCCCCGTCCCCCACGGGTAGTCAGGATTGTACAATTGTGTTGAAGTGTGGTTCCGTTCAATATTATTCCATTCTGTTCATGGATTTCCATCTGCAGGTTTTGTTATCATTCCAGAAGAAACCAGTGAGTTCAGAAGGGTAAGGAGTGATCTCTTATGATACCCTGAATTATTGAATATTGTGTTATTGATTAATGTCTTTGCGAACATTAATGCAATTGTGTTTTTTTTGTGTTTGTTTTGTTATTGATTAAGCACTAAAATGCAGCTTTATGTTACCGTGTTTTGATTTGTCTGCATGACAAGGATTTGAGTGATCTTTAATTGTTAAGTAAGTAATTATCAAAAGAAGGCACCAAACCGAGAAGGCTATGTAGCACCATCAAATGTGCGGAATAATCAGTGGGCGCTAAATATCACCAAGGATGCCAATACGAGAACAGGAACGCATAAGGTGAACGATAACAAAGGTATCCGATTCACCAATAATTCCATCGAGAGACAAGTGACAGCCCCTAGACACACGCTCGTCCTGGAAGATAGGTCATTCAACAAGGATACGTACGACAGTAAGAGGGACAATGCAATTTGGACAATAAGGAGCTGGGCTGCGCTTCATTAAGTGACCGTGAGTTAAGCTAGTATGGCCAAGACGCAACCGCACTAGAGCCATTTCCCACCGCTGGTTACTATGGCAAGAGGAAGGCCACGGGGAAACACAACGCTTAAGGGTTTGCAGTTTGTTACCAACAACAGAAGACCATCAACTCTGCCAACCGGCAAGGATGGAGGAATGAATAACCGGATAAAAGTTGGAAAAAAGGAATACCATTATGGGAAATGGGACAAGACCAGATAGCCTCTCTAGCGGCAGCATCCGCACGCTCGTTTAAAGAAACACCAACAGGCCGGGAGCCCCGCAAAACTCCACAGATTTAAATTTACTTGAGATAAGAAACAGCCATTGTTGAATCTCGACGACTATCGGATGGACAGGATTAAAGGACCCGAGAGCCATGAGGGCACTACGAGAGCCAACTACAATCACAAAAGAGGATTGACCACGAGAAAGCAGGAGACGGAAAACATGGAGAATTGCATAAAGTTCCGCTGTGAAGATGCTAGTCTCCGAAGGGAGGCGACACATAAGTGCAGTCAGGAAAAACAATGGAGTAGCCCACACCGTCAGCAGACTTACACCCATCGGTGAAGATGGAAACGAACCGGGAGTGTGAAGAAAAGTGCTCAAGAAAAAGGCGTTTCAGAACCTAGGAGGAGTAAAAGCTTTCGTAATGCAGGTCAAGGATGTACAAAACTTCGCAAGGGGGACCCTCCACGGGGGCAAGGAAGAAACAATACGAGGAGAAATATGAGAAAGACAAATGGATGACCTATAAGCGAGATAGCCGGACAGAAAGAGGGTGAAGAGGAACAGGTACTACAGGAGGGGTAAAAGTCAAAGCACGACAGAGGCGAATGATGGATGTTGCAACGACCGTGCTAGATAGCGAAGACAGTAGCGATCACGGCGGTCCTGGATAGGAATACAATTGTCAACATACAAGCTGAGAGCGGGAGTCTAACGAAAGGCACCGGAGCTGAGGCGTAACCAAGCATGGTGCAAAGCATCAAGACGGCAAAGAGTAGAAGGAGAAGCGGACGAGTAAGCATGGCAACCATCATTCTAATTTAGTTAGGACGAGTGAGTAATGTAGAGAGAAAAGCGTATGGGTATCTGCACCCCAAGAAGTATGGGACAAAATTTTAAGGAGGGAAAGGGCCCTAGAGCATTCAGCGTGGAGGTAAGAGATGGGCTCACCAGGACAAACGAGTGTCAAAGATTAACCCCAGAAGCTTAGCGGAATCCTTGTACTTTATGGTGATGTCCATAAAGTGACAGAGGGACGAAGAATGACACACTTCCTAGTAAAAGTCAAAGCACAAGTCTTAGACGCAGAGAACTTTAGGCCATGATCGGTGGCCGAAGACGACATGGCATCAATCGCAAGTTGAAGCTGGCGTTGAAGGAGAGGTAAATCATCACCCCGACAGCAAAGGTAAAGGCGATCGTCTACATGGAGAGGAGAAGACGGCAGAAAGAAGGGAGGAAAGAAGACCATTGAGAGCAACAAGAAAAAAAAAAGAGAAGTGCTCAGAACACTACCTTCTGGCACACCCTCATATTGTCGAAAAGGGGCAGAGAGAGTGGTACCAAGAACCACTCGAAAGGAACGACAAGAGAGAGGAAACATTGGGAGGAAAAGAGGGAGATTCCCACGAAGGCCAAAAGAATGAAGTTGGGACAGAATATGATACTGCCAGATAGTGTCGTAAGCCTTTTCTAGGTCAAAAAGGGCGGCAACATCGGAGGTCTTCGCAGCAAAAGCAGTACAAATGTAGACCTCCAAGTTCACCAGGACATCCGTTGTGCTGCGGCACTTGTGAAAACCAAATTGAGAAGGAGAAAGGAGGTGATGGTGCTCCAAGAACCACTTCAGACGAACGTTAACCATACGTCCAAAGAGCTTGCAGGCACAACTCGTGAGGGCAATAGGGTGTAAGTCCTTGGGCGTTGACCCCGAGAGACCCTGATTTCCGAACAGGTAGGACAACAGCATCGAGCCAGTCCTCAGGGACTGACGACGATTCCCAGACCTGATTAAACAGATTCAGTAAATACTGAGACGAGCACGGAGGGAGATGTCGAAGCATCTCATAATGAATGCCATCGGAGCCTGCCGCCATAGAACAGCAAAGGGGCCAGGACAGACTGGAGCTCAGAGAGAGAGAGAGAAGGGATCGTTATAGGGAAGGTTGAGATGGGTACAGAAATCCGATGGACGAGATTCAAGTAGAAGCTTACGAAGAAGGAAGGAATGGGGGAGATGAGAACCAGAGCTAACAGACTAAAAGTAGGAGCCCAATTCGGTCCTGACCTGCAATGGGTCCGCCACAAGAGTACCATCGAGGTGAAGGACCAGCGAGACATCGGGAACGAACTTACTCGCTATCTTGCGGATACGCTTCCAGATCAGCGGTAGAAGAGTTTCGGACGTGATGATGGAGACACAAGACATCCAACAAGCACGTTTAGCCATACTGATGGTCCTATGGGCCACCGCACATGCCTACCGAAACAAAAGAAAAAATTCAGTCGTCTGCCGGCGACGATGTCTCTTCCAGGCTGCACGCTTACAGCGGACAGCCAAAGCACAGTCCACATTCCACCAGGGAAAGCACTTCCGCGTTCCCCGAGAGGAAGAGCAAGGAATACAGCGGAGAGCAGCGTCGAAGACGGTGTCATAAAAAAAGGAGTAGTACGCGAGGAAGAGGCAGAATGGAGAGGTCGGAGATAGTAGCACGGAGGGTAAAGAGGGGTCAGTCAGCCTCAGCAAACTGCCACCTAGGGAAGGAGAGGGTAAGGGCGAAAAGAGAAAAAAGAAACAAGGATGGAAAATGGTCATTCCCATGGAGGTCATTAAGAACCCTCCAGTCGAAATCTAAGTAAAGGGAAGACGAGCAAAGAGAAAGATGAAGACAGGAAAGGGAGCGAGTCCG